CCGCACCCACACCGTACCAGAACCGCAACCACACCGTACCAGAACCGCAACCACACCGTACAAGAGCCGCACCCACACCGTACAAGAGCCGCACCCACACCGTACCAGAACCGCAACCACACCCGCACCCACACCGTACCAGAGCCGCAACCACACCGTAGAAGAGCCGCACCCACACCGTACCAGAACCACACCGTACCAGAACCGCACCGTACCAGAACCGCAACCACACCCGCACCCACACCGTACCAGAACCGCACCGTACCGTACCAGAACCGCACCGTACCGTACCAGAACCGCACCGTACCGTACCAGAACCGCACCGTACCGTACCAGAACCGCACCGTACCGTACCAGAACCGCACCGTACCGTACCAGAACCGCACCGTACCGTACCAGAACCGCACCGTACCGTACCAGAACCGCACCGTACCGTACCAGAACCGCACCGTACCGTACCAGAACCGCACCGTACCGTACCAGAACCGCACCGTACCGTACCAGAACCGCACCGTACCGTACCAGAACCGCACCGTACCGTACCAGAACCGCACCGTACCGTACCAGAACCGCACCGTACCGTACCAGAACCGCACCGTACCGTACCAGAACCGCACCGTACCGTACCAGAACCGCACCGTACCGTACCAGAACCGCACCGTACCGTACCAGAACCGCACCGTACCGTACCAGAACCGCACCGTACCGTACCAGAACCGCACCGTACCGTACCAGAACCGCACCGTACCGTACCAGAACCGCACCGTACCGTACCAGAACCGCACCGTACCGTACCAGAACCGCACCGTACCGTACCAGAACCGCACCGTACCGTACCAGAACCGCACCGTACCGTACCAGAACCGCACCGTACCGTACCAGAACCGCACCGTACCGTACCAGAACCGCACCGTACCGTACCAGAACCGCACCGTACCGTACCAGAACCGCACCGTACCGTACCAGAACCGCACCGTACCGTACCAGAACCGCACCGTACCGTACCAGAACCGCACCGTACCGTACCAGAACCGCACCGTACCGTACCAGAACCGCACCGTACCGTACCAGAACCGCACCGTACCGTACCAGAACCGCACCGTACCGTACCAGAACCGCACCGTACCGTACCAGAACCGCACCGTACCGTACCAGAACCGCACCGTACCGTACCAGAACCGCACCGTACCGTACCAGAACCGCACCGTACCGTACCAGAACCGCACCGTACCGTACCAGAACCGCACCGTACCGTACCAGAACCGCACCGTACCGTACCAGAACCGCACCGTACCGTACCAGAACCGCACCGTACCGTACCAGAACCGCACCGTACCGTACCAGAACCGCACCGTACCGTACCAGAACCGCACCGTACCGTACCAGAACCGCACCGTACCGTACCAGAACCGCACCGTACCGTACCAGAACCGCACCGTACCGTACCAGAACCGCACCGTACCGTACCAGAACCGCACCGTACCGTACCAGAACCGCACCGTACCGTACCAGAACCGCACCGTACCGTACCAGAACCGCACCGTACCGTACCAGAACCGCACCGTACCGTACCAGAACCGCACCGTACCGTACCAGAACCGCACCGTACCGTACCAGAACCGCACCGTACCGTACCAGAACCGCACCGTACCGTACCAGAACCGCACCGTACCGTACCAGAACCGCACCGTACCGTACCAGAACCGCACCGTACCGTACCAGAACCGCACCGTACCGTACCAGAACCGCACCGTACCGTACCAGAACCGCACCGTACCGTACCAGAACCGCACCGTACCGTACCAGAACC